CCCGCCCCCGCCCCCGCCCCCCCGCCGCTCACCGAGGCGCAGACACATGGCGGCTCCCGCGCGGGTCCCGGGCCGGCGTCAGCGGGGCTCCGGAGGCTGCGGGCCGCCGGGGGGCCGCGCGCCCATGCTCTCGCCCGCCGCCCGCTCCCCGCCCGCAGCGCGGCGCTCGGCCGGCCTCCCTTCCCGGCACCCCCCGGGCGCCCGGCCCGACCCCGGCCGCGCGTCTGCCTGCCGGCCGGTCGGACCGGCTGGGCGGCCTCGGCCCGCCCGCCGAGTCACCGCGCGGGCTCCGCCCACCGCCCCGCCGCCGCCCCCGGGCTCTCGGCCCGCCCGCCGCGCCCGGGCCCATTTTGCGGATGGAAGCCGAGGCTGGGGTGGCGGCGCGATCGCCTGGGCGGGGAGGGCGGTGGGGGCTTGCACGCGTGCTAGCCGTGGTTATCACGACCTGGTGGGCACCCGGTGGAAAAGCCTCCGGCGAAGGCTGGGAAGGGGGAGAGGCCTCGGTGGGTGGTGAGAGACCACCGCCGCGGTCTGTCCCCGATCTGCGGTGTGACCTCAGGCAGATCACTCTCCCTCCCTGGGCTTGCTTACTTTTACCGGGCAAAGAACATGTCCTGGCCTGCTGGGCTTGTTTTCCCCTCTCCTCTCGGTCTTGTGAGGGAGGTCTCAGTTCCCTCCTTGGAAAGTCAGGGATAATTCCTGTCCCCTAAGGTCGTGGTGAGACAAGATACAAAAACAAGGTATAAAGAAACGCTTTGGAAACTCTCCAGAGTGTCCTTCTGGCCAAAGTGTAGACGTTGCAGGAGTGCATGGTAGGAGCTTGGCTAGTCCTGGCTGTGGGTTACCGAGGCCCTTCAACGTGGCGGGATGGACCCCAGCAAGTGGTCCCTTATTTCAGCCTCAGCATCCTCGGGGGAGGTGCCATTTCTGCCCCTTTGGAATCAGAGGGTTGGCCACTCACCCAAGACCACTCAGACAAGGAGGTGGAAAAAGCAGGAGCCGGTCCCCTCCCCCACACCTCCCCCACCCCATCTCTGGGGCCAAGTTTTTGGAGCGGGTCCTCTACATCCTCTGAGCAGGTCTCTGGGAGGCACTTATTGTGGTGTTTGGGCAGTATCTGTCCACAACTGCACCTCTCACACCACTGGGCAGTGGCCTGGAGGGCAGGGGCTGACCTGCTGTCTCTGGGTGCTTAGTAGGAGCCTGGCATATGGGCTGTTCACTGAATGTGCCTTTTGCTGTGTGCTGTGTGTATTGGGTGCTTGGGTCGGCACACAGAGCCTCTGGAGCTCCCGGAGCACATTAACGCCAAGGAGGGGAGCACAGCCATTTCTCCTTAGGAAGCCCCTGGGGCACTGGTGGACCCCCAGAGTCGGGCAGTCTGTCCTGGTAACATTTCAGCAGAGGTGCTTCCCTGTCACCTGGTGTCTGAGGGAGACAATGTGCATGCAGAGGGTGCAGGTGGGGAGACAGACTTATCAGGTGGAGGGAAGATGGGGCAGTTCATTCAGACACCAGGCTGGCGTTGAAGGTCAGCCTTGTAGGAGGGCAGTTGGGCAGCACTTACCCATGCTGTCAGTGGTCAGGCACTTGTCATGATGGCCAGCAATTCCCTTTCTAGATCTTTATCCTGCACACCACAGAGTGTAACCCTATGCACGCATTTAATATGTTTATGAGACCGGGCGCGGTGGCTCATGCCTATAATCCCAGCACTTTGGGAGGCCGAGGTGAGAAGATTGCCTGAGCCCACGGGTTCAAGACCAGCCTGGGTAACTTGCCGAGACCTCATCTCTACAATAAATCAAAAAATCAGCTGGGCGTGGTAGTGCGCGCCTGTAATTCCGGCTACTCGGAAGGCTGAGGCGGAAGGATCGCTGGAGCCCAGCAGGTCGAGGCTGCGGTGGCCGGGAGCGGCCACTGCACTCCAGTCTGGGCGACAGAGTGAGACTCCAACTCAAAAAAAAAAAAGAAAAGAAAAGAAGGGCCCCCTCACTGCTGCTGCCCTGTCTCCACTGCACCAACAGCTTGTGATGCCAAAGCCCACCTCCTAGTGGCTGCTCTGGAGAGTGCATGTGGTCACTGCAAAGCCAATGTCAATCTCACTTGTGTGCATATATGTGACTTTTCTATTAGTTAATGTCAAGTAGTTCCCTCAACTCTGAGCCCTGCTGGAGCCTTCTGGAATTAGGTTAGGACCAGACTTTTCAAATGCCTTTGCTTCCAGATGCATTGATGATGATTCTCTTTTTTTAAATCCTTGGACTAACACAGAATTACAGATAATCACCCCCATTTTACAGAAAAGAAAATTGAGGCCCAGAAAGGCAAAAGACTTTTTGCATGTCCCACAGCACGTGTCAGTGGTAGAGCCGAGACTTGAATCTGAGCCTGTCTGATGATGAAGGTTGCTCCTGACTTCTTTGTGTGTCAAGGGTGGGGACAGCCACAGCCTCGAGGGGTGTGCCTGCTCTTTGGATCTTCTGAGGAGGGAGAATTTTTTCATCTGCTTCTCTCCAGACCATAATTTTCCAGCTATCAGCCAGCCTCAGCGACCTGAGGTTACGGCCACTTCTTTTCCTTATTGCCATGCGACCAAAGTCCATCAGTCCCAGCCACCTGGTGTCCCTTTTCTCTGCCCCACCTCTCCACACACCAGCCTAAGGTTCTGGAAAGAACTCCAGGCCTGAGCTCTAGTTCATTGTCTTCCACCGACTCACTGTAATATCATGGCAGCTCACTGCCATTCCCTGGGCCTCTGTTTCCCTATCTGTCAAATTAGGATAATGATTTGCTTCCCAGGCTTCCCAGGTTTCTGAGGCATAAATGCTTGAGAGATATGAAAGTGGGCTGAAACCTAGCCAGAGAAATGCAAGTAGTAATTTTCTTCCCAGAACATTTAATGACTAGGTGTGGCCCAGCGCACTTAATTGGAGGCTGAGTCTTGCCAGGGCATGGCTTCCACACTGGGCTGCTCAGCTGGGGAACTGGGTTTAGGCTTCAGTCCCTGTGCCTCCCCTCCTCACTTTAAGGACACTTCTCTCCCTGCCCCTCATTTAAGAATCATTCTTCCATGTAAGTAAACCAATCATTTACAACAGTGCCAGATTCCATTTGATGTGTGCTTATGTATAGAAAACTAACTGTCTGGTGCGGTGGCTCACGGCTGTAATCCCAGCACTTTGGGAGGCCGAGGCAAGAGGATTGCCTAAGCCCAGGGGTCCGAGACCAGCCTGGGCAACTTGGCGAGATCTCGTCTCTACAATAAATCAAAAAATTAGCTGAGCGTGGTGGTGCGTGCTTATAGTTCCAGCTACTTGGAAGGCTGAGGCAGAAGGATCACCTGAGCCCAGCAGGTCGAGGCTGCAGTGGCTGTGAGCGTGCCACTGCACTCAGCCTGGGCAACAGAGTGAGACTTCAAGCCCCCCCCCCAAAAGAAAACAAACAACTAACTGATCATGCTGGTCTGAGAGAAGAGAAGGCGATTAAAGGGAACTTTCACTATAGTCTAAAGTTTTTTGGTTTTGTTTTTTGGGTTTTTTTTTGAGTCGGAGTCTCACTCAAACTAGGCTGACTCCAATGGCAGTATTTCAGTCCTTGAGTGATTATTGTCAGCCTGCCTCCCTATACTTATACCACCTACCTCTTCCCTGCATTTCCTCTTCCCTGCATTCCCTGCATTTCGCTGGTGGCTCCTTCTCAGTCTCCTCTGTGGACTTTTGGCCATCAGCTCAACCTTTGAATATTGGTTTGCGTCCTTTCTGCTGCCTTTACTCTTCCCACTGGTTGGGTTGTGCACTCTCACAACTCCCTTTCATATGATGATCTCAAATCACTGTTCCCAGACTGGATAGCTCCCCTGAGCGTCAGACGCAAACATCCAAATAGCCTTATGTATCCACCTGTGTGTGTTCCATAGTCACCACAAGCTCAACATGTGCCAACTGATGGCTTCATCTTTCCCCCCCAAGCTGTATTTTCTATCTCAGTTGGTGGAATCGTGATGTACTCAAGCCAAAACCGGAGAGTCATGAGTTACTCTTCCCTCTGTTTCTATATAAAGTCTGTCACCGAGTCCTGCCAAGTTACATCATAAATCGTTCTGGAATAAGTGACTTCCTTTGCCTCTGCTGTTGTTATAATTATCATTATTATTATTATTTTGAGTTGAAGTCTCACTCTGTCACCCAGGCTGGAGTGGAGTGGCGTGCTCGTGGCTCACTGCAGCCTTGACCTCCTGGGCTCAGGTGATCCTTCTGCTTCAGCCTCCTGAATTGCTGGTAATACAGGCACACACCACCACCCCCGGTTAATTTTTTTTTTTGTAAAGACAAGGTCTTGCTATGTCTTGAACTCCTGGGTTCAAGTGATCATCTCTCCTCAACCTCCCAGAGTGCTGGGATTACAGGCATGAGCCACTGTGCCTAGCTTTTCTCTGCTATTATTGCCCTTGTTCATGTGGCATCTCTTGCACACCAATCATTTTTCCATACTACTGAGCAATCTTCCTAAGTAAAGTATAAAGCATATACTTTATACTAAAGAATAAATCAAACTGGGCGTGGTGGTTCATGCCTATTAATCCCAGCACTTTGGGAGACCGAGATGAGAAGATTGCCTGAGCCTACAAGGTTCAAGACCAGCCTTGTAGGGCAAGTTGGCGAGACCACATCTCTACAAATATATCAAAAAATTAGCCGGGTGTCGTGGCGCATGCCTGTAGTGCAGCTACTTGGAAGACTGAGGTAGAAGGATCACCTGAGCCCAGTACGTCAAGACTGAGGTGGCCGTGAGCGTGTTACCACTCCAACCTGGGTGACAGAGTGAGATGCCAACTCAAAAACAAACAAACAAACAAAATTCTGTGCTTCAAAGGACACTGTCAAAACTGTCAAAAGAGGCTGGGTGCAGTGGTTCATGCCTGTCATCCCATCACTTTGAGAGGCTGAGAGGAGAGGATTGCTTGAGGCCAGGAGTTCAAGACCAGCCTGGGCAAGAGAACTCCATCTCTATCAAATATTTAAAAATTAGCTGGCCATGATGGAATGTACCTGTAGTCCCAGCTACTCAGGATGCTGAGGCAGGGGGAACATTTGTGCCCAGGAGTTTGAGGTTATAGTGAGCCTTGATCATGCTATTGCACTCTAGCCTGGGTGACAGACCGAGACTTGTCTCTGAAAAAGAAAAAAGAAAGAAAAAACCAAA